TTCTTTTCTTCTTTTCTTCTTCTTTTCTTCTCTTTTTTTCTTCTTCTTTTTCTTACCCCTTTTATTCATCGAAAATCTCGTACAACCTCTTTTACTTGCTGAAAACCCTCGGCGGAAATTTTCGGGGGTTTTTTTTTTCCATCTCCGGCTTGTTCCAAAAACCTGAGTGTTGCTGCCCATAACTTTTCCGGTTCCTTTATCTTACCATCTTTTGGGTTTTTTTGCCTCTCTGGCAGATGTGCTCCGACTTCGAAGGATGTCCCTTATTAATCGACTCCTATGAAATACTTGTTGGGAAAGCAGTGAGTCTATTGTGATTTTCTTCACAATGGGGTCCCGGAACCAACCCCATCCAATTATACCCTAAGCGATACTCTGTTTCGTTACATCGAAATGCCAATGGGGTTTCCCATATGTCATCTTTGAACATGACCGAATCATCAACCCCAAATGTCCCTAAAACTATCACTGATTTTGAATAAACAACAGAATTGAAACATATACAACCAATACATAGGTTTTGGGGAGACTACAGATTAAAAGAGAATTACTGAAAGAAAGAAATAGGATACAAATGAAATGCTCTGATCTCATTAAATTACATAAAACTCATTTTTTAAAAACCATACAGTATGGAACAGTTAAAGGCAAGAGGTAGACAACGTTAGAAGTGGTAGGACAACATCAAAAGATGGACGAACATCAGTCTGAGAGAGTTAACAACCAAGACAATACAGAGAATGTGTTGGAAATCGGTTGCAGTCAATCTTTAATGGGGAGATGGCACCTGATTGATTGGCTGAATAGATCCCTTTCCACGCCTTCAGATGTATTAGGCATATAGGGCTGTGACCGTTGTCAATTTAACTACTATAGTTGCGCAGAAAAAGATGATGAAATCCAATGCACCTTAGATATTTTTAGAAAACCCACGTGAGAACGTACCTAGTAAACAAGTGGAGACGTACTAGAATATTCTAGAAGCCGAAGAAAACAAATACCTAGCATTCCAGCATCCAAGTATAAATAGCTAGTAACAAAGCACTTTAGCAATTCTTCAGTCCACAAGACTCAAGAGAGGAGAGACCAGTCATGGACTCTCAAGACAGCCTTCAGTGGTAGAGATGTTAGCCCAACACTAGAAGCCTTCAGTCGTTGAGACTCAGAGGACGAGCGACTAGTCTCAATGATCCTCGATGCCAGCTCAACACTGGAAGGAGAGCAGCCGTTCATATTGAACCTCGAAGACAGTCACTGAAGAACAGACATGAAACGAGACATCGAGCTACAGAGACGACACACAAGATACATGGATCCATGGAGAACAGAGACACATTAGGAACACTATAGAGATGTGAGAGTCGACGATCAAGCCGTTAGTACCAAACCGCACTAGAAGCCAGGTGGCAGTTAGAGACACTAGAATCAGTTAACAAAGTAACTAGAGATGAAAAACACAACGCGAACCTACGAGTATTTATTATATAAGCATCAGAGTCGCGTGAGAAGCATGCAACGGGCAAGACATCATTATCATCATAACCACTAACGACACGACCATCTTTCTTCTCGTCTATAATCTTCCAATCGACTCCTCCTGTAGCAAAACCTAAAGACGAACCTGGGTGTGACATCAACATACGCAACGAAAAAGAGAGCTGTGCTACATATTCTTTTTCCTCCACAATGAAGCCCCGTAACCCATACGCTTAGTGCTCTATGTATTAAGAATAGTGAACAAATCTGAGAGTTACTCGTAAACTAAGAATTATGTACACACCTAACGACTAACGGAAGTGCCGGGATCACACAACGAGCGACTAACACCCTGTGACACAAGGTGCCACCATTTGGATGAATTTTTCAGGCGCTAGACCCAGAAACCCCGTTCCACAGTTAGACTATAAAAGCCCCCCCCCCCCACCCCCCCCCACCCCCCCTCCTCACGACAGCCGGGGTATGGCTTTTAAATGAACACAAAATTGTGTCCTTAAATATAAATAATGATGCTTTGTTTGCTTGTTTGTTTATACACCTTGTGTTATTTTAAAGCCCCAACCCGGCTATCGCCGGGGCCTTAAATATAACCTAGGGGTTGAAATTGGTTTCTGATACTTGCACTCGAGTTGTTCTCATCCGAAAGGTGTCACTTCGTGTCATCAGGTACTTATCTCTCGTCGTAAGGTCCTGGTGGGGTTTAACTTCAGCCAATCATTAAGCCACTGTTTTGTTAACTTATTGATGCAAGTTAGGTAAGTTGCTGGGGAAAAAAATCGTCACTTTCAAATATCATCTCAGAAGGTTTAAATGGTGACTAAGTTATGTGCGCCATAGAAATGGCTCAACATTGCACGCTATCAAGAGCCCAGAAAGACAGACTAAAATACTGTCTAGACCGGCGACGCAGTCGTCTATCAGCGAGCCAGTGGGCAACCCAGTCGCCAGTGTGATGCATGTTAATTTTTGTTCCACATTTTTGTTGTTGATTATGTCTGACACTCACCTCAGATTTAAAGACAACAGCAAGAACTATGACAGCAACCTCTAAGGTTAACAGCACAACCAGTGGCACGATATACTGAAATGGAAGATGATCAGAAAAAAGCGTCACGGCTTTGATTGACACTTATAGTTAGTTGCATAATCCTTTTCAAGTCGTTGCGGAACCAACTCCAGCATTTTGGAATGTTTGGTTTTATTTAGCAGCTTTGTTCGCATTGCTACTAAACCCAGGCATACCTTCACTGTGAATGAGCTTTCACAAGAAGAGCAGGTGGACTGGGTTCCAAAACTACATTCCCTGACGATTCCACGGGTTATTAAAAAAAAAAGGCTTTATGCTTGTATCAAGGGATGCGGGTGTAAGACGAAACAAAAAAAGCTGATAGGCTTGCAGACATAGCTATGCGGATAGCAGAAGAGTAATGGGAAACGCACATATAATGTATGCAGTGAGATAAACATAGCAGGCAAAATGAATCAAGTGATGACTCAGTGATGATCTCGAAGCGAATTTTCTCTCAAAATGTACCTTCACTCACAGGTCGACCACATCTAAAATGAGTACCAGATAATATCATGCGAAGCAAACGCTGCCGGTGTGATTTTGACCAAATCCCACATCGACAGTCGATTGGTCAATAAAAGTAAGGTCTTAGACTGATGCCCGAAACGCCAAAGACGCGAACCAGGTCCTTTAATTTTGTCACCTGACCAGACATGTATACCAAGGAGAAAAGGAAGGAAAGGGAGGGGGAGCGGGGATGGTAAAGCCAGATACGAGTTATGTGCAGAAAACTGAAGCTGAGAAACAATCTGACCTTACCCGCACAACACTGCGGATTGTATCTGACTTGTGTAGTCGGTACGGGTGCCCTAATCCTAACTTCCTCAGAGGTTGATCAGGGTATCTTTAATCTGCCTAGTTGGTCTGGCATCCAGCTGAAATTTTTTTTTTAAATCTGAGAATGGTTAGCCTTCATGTAGAACACTGGAGGTGACAAATTAATCAATCGATGGATAGCAAACAAACACAGATATGGTGACATGGATAGCAAACCAACACACAGACGGAGTCAAGGATAGCAAACCAACACAGAGATGGTGTCAGGGATAGCAAACCAACATACAAATGGTGTCATGTAAGCAAAAAAACACAGAGATGGTGACATGGATAGCAAACCAACACACAGATGGTGTAATGGATAGCAAACCAACACACAGATGGTGTAATGGATAGCAAACCAACACACAGATGGTGTCATGGATAGCAAACCAACACACAGATGGTGTAATGGATAGCAAACCAACACACAGATAGTGTCAGGGATAGCAAACCAACACACAGATGGTGTCTTGTTAGCAAACCAACACACAGATGGTGTCATGGATAGCAAACCAACACACAGACGGAGTCATGGATAGCAAACCAACACACAGATGGTGTCATGGATAGCAAACCAACACACAGATGGTGTAATGGATAGCAAACCAACACACAGATAGTGTCAGGGATAGCAAACCAACACACAGATGGTGTCTTGTTAGCAAACCAACACACAGATGGTGTCATGGATAGCAAACCAACACACAGACGGAGTCATGGATAGCAAACCAACACACAGATGATGTCATGGATAGCAAACCAACACACAGATGGTGTCATGGATAGCAAACCAACACACAGATGATGTCATGGATAGCAAACCAACACACATATGGTGTCATGAATAGCAAACAAAAACATAGATGGTGTTATGGATAGCAAACCAACACACAGATGGAGTTATGGATAGCCCACTAACAAAGAGGTGGTATCAGTCGCTACATTCTGGAGGATGCTTTGAGTAGAGACTTCAATAACTATGAACTTTACGGTTTGAGGTACAGTTAGGATAATCTGTTTCTAAAACATAATAAGGTGAGGTGGCTAGTTGCTTTCATCTCCTCCACTTTTTGAGCTGAAAATCCTTACAATCCAGACAATCCTTGCAGGATAATAAATTATCCCTGTCGCGACTTGGGCTTGGAGTCTGCATTTAGCACCGTTACCGGCGAGACATGATTGGTTGTCTCCATTGTGTTGACGTAATACTCAGACAAATCGACCCAAACGAATCCTTAAGATTATTGAAATAATGTGAAAATTAAATATGCTTGAATTGACTGAGACTCAAAGTAGGAACACTAAAGAAACAGGGACATGAAAAGAAGAATGTTTTAAAAAAAATTGTTTGCCTCAAATTTTATCGACCTGTGGAAAGACCCATATTGGTAGAATTGTCGAAAAATCCCAATATTGAAGACCTGTAGAAACCCCATTATATTAAGACTCATCGAAAACCCCATATTTTTGAAACCTGTCGAAAAACCCCATATTTTTAGACGTGCGGAAAAGATCCCATGTTGTTTAGACCCATCGTAAACCACCATATTTTTTTTTTGATTAGTCAGCACACAGTGGGTGATATAGGTAATAAAACACCTGATGCGTTTCCGTCCCATAGCATTTCATTGACGCATTTAATAGAATGTGTGTAATGATACACGTTTAAAGTATTTGTTGTTTAGCATAAATGATGTGAAACAAAGTCAGAAAAAAACAAAAAAACAATCATTAGGCTTTGACTATTTTAAAACACAGAAATAGCTGAAAGATGACAGAATAATGCATGAGATTTAACAGATGCTTAGAAGTGTAAGAGTGCAAAAAAAAAATGTGTCTAATGTGTCCCCATGTTTTGGTGTTTGGATGAGTCGAGTGGAGGAACGAATCTGTGTGAACCAGAGAGTTGATTCAACTCTGTCAGCTTACAGTGACTATGATTATCTGGCCATTTTGTAACTGTCATGATGGATGTGTGCTGGTGACTACAAACAGTATGGACTATATTTAAGAGTGCCAGTGGTTGTCTGGGAAGTTTGGGTGTATGCAGGAAATAAGTCATGCGAGCAATTAGTTAGAATTGTTAGATATTTGAGATGGATGCTCTCTTCACGTCATCCTAGCCCAAAACAAGTAAAAGGTGACAGATGACCATACGCAGATTGCAACGGTAAGAAAGCGTTTGTGAAGTAGAATCGTGTTCCATGATCTTATCCTTCAGATCTGTAAGTCGTTTTGCTGTATCCACTAGGAGAACTGTAGTTCTAGCCTTGTCATTGTTGTTGTATCTACAAGGACAACCGCAATCCCAGTGTTGTCATTGTTGCTGTATCTGGAAGGACAACTGTAGTAACATCCTTACACATAAAATTTAAGGTAAAGAAAACATCATTTTCACCATCACGTTGGTGTGCCTTTGATACGCCAAGCAGTCGATTCCTTTGTCCTTTCTCCAATACAGTCCCAGATATCCTGTGTATAAAGAGTCGCTGTTATGTAAAGGCTTGAAGCTCCCCTGTGGATCTGAAGATCGTGACTTCAGGTACCGACGAAGCCAGAAATTTTTTTTTATTATCTTGTTTCCCATGTCGACCTAGCCCTAAATGGGTTCCAGGTAAAGTCCTGGAAAGTAAAGGCGCGTGGTGATCACATCACCCACCGGGTGCCGACTGGGTCTATCAAAAATAGGCATATCCCTTAATGCCAAAATAGGCCTGAACGCGTGGAAAAGGATCCTTGGCTTTACTGTATTGTGTATGAAGTCTAGTCCATCACCTCTAGCTACTATTCTCAGACAAAGTTCTTTCAAGTTATTTGTTTCTCATTATTTCAGTGTCTGTTTTAGGATTATTTGTTGTCAACTTCGTCTCACAATCTACCCAATATATCGCTGTCCGTGTTGATTTCCAAAGAATATAAAATATATATTCTAAACTAATTCATCATCATCATTTTCATCATCATCATCTTCATCATCTTCTTCTTCTTTTTCTTCTTCTTCTTCTTCTTCTTCTTCTTCTTCTTCTTCTTCTTCTTCTTCTTCTTCTTCTTCTTCTTCTTCTTCTTCTTCTTCTTCTTCTTCTTCTTCTTCTTCTTCTTCTTCTTCTTCTTCTTCTTCTTCTTCTTCTTCTTCTTCTTCTTCTTCTTCTTCTTCTTTTCTTCTTCTTCTTCTTCTTCTTCTTCTTCTTCTTCTTCTTCTTCTTCTTCTTCTTCTTCTTCTTCTTCTTCTTCTTCTTCTCCTTCTTCTTCTTCTTCTTCTTCTTTTTCTTTTTCTTTTTCTTCTTCTTCTTCTTCTTTCATAAAAGACCATAATTCAGAAAACCCTTAATTAATCGCTGTTAACAACATTCATGTTGAGGTACTGTATATCTTATTTACCCCCCCCCCCCCCTTTCCCCACACTTACCCACTTCCCCGGAACTCAAACACGGGTACTGATTTTTTTAAAAAGCATGACCAACAAACGAACAAAAATCAACAAGAACGCACAGAACACGTAGAGATACTTACAAAGACAAGGATGCATGAATTCATCGCCATAGCACCAACCACTCCTAGACCAGCAAGAGCCATCATTGCTGACCCCGCGGCCACCATGACAATAGCGCCCTGTCGCAGGATATCCTGACCTAGAACTTCCAGTTCAAGTATATCTGCTGTGAGGTCAAAGAAGGAATTGTCTCCCAACATGACCCAGAGTCCGATGCCAAGTGAGACAGCTCCCACAATCTGAAAGATCAGGAGTTCAGGGGTTTAATGACCAGTTTTGTTTTTGCATGAAGTTTATAAAAGAAGAAACATAAAGAACAACTAAGGCATTAATTAATAAACTAAAATAACTCATTAAATAGTGCCTGCACTAAATAGAATAAATTAAATGGGATGATAGAATGACTTATCTAGAGCTTTGGGAGGCAACTAAACCAGATCATTGGACCAAGAGGTGAAGAAAAGACCCTGTCATTGGATAGAACACACGCTGAGAAACATATAAGAACAATATAACTATATTGTCTTAGCATTGGAACCCATAGCGGCATAGCAATAAAGGAACACCCCCCTCCCCCACCCCCACCAAAAAAAAAAAAAAAAGCACACGGAAAAGAGAGCTACAGAGTGAAGTTAAAAAGATAGGGAGGGCATAGGGAAGCTGCTTGCAGTACCGAAGAATAGAATGACTTGTCGTGAGCTGGTTGAGGGCTTATGCTCCACTGGGAGCTCGGAAGGTAGAAGAAGAAGAATAAAACAGAAGGAAAGGAACGAGTAGAGAATCACCAAATACGTACTAAGATATCGAGGGGGAAAAAAAAGAAAATACACTTAGAAAACAAGGGAGTCGAAGAAAACTTACAGGGATGAGGGAAGTCAAAACTTAAGGGCAAAGTCAAAAGGACTGACTTGATTGCACTAGACTATTCCGTATAGCTTCGCAAAATGTCGCACAAAGCATGAATTGTGTTGCTCCAGCAATGATCCCCGTAAGAACTGCACTATAACAAGCATGTCGTTAAAGGCGATCAGTTAATGATGTTGCCTTAACAGTCGGGGTGCATCTACCTGAGAGGCGAGGAACCAAAAATTGCATACAAATAAGATAGATTTGTAAACGTATGTGCACGTAGCACTCAAGTTCTAGAACCAGATTGAAGTTTAGAAGTGGACGAACAACCAGGACTTTCCACCTGAGTTTACAGAACGCGAAGAAGAAGGGGACAAGGAAGAAGATAAATATTCTATTCATTCATTCATTCATTCAGTAGCATGTCCCTCGCGGAACCTCGCTGCCATAACAACCCTCCGGAAAACCTTCCTATCCTGAGCAAGATGTCCTGCGTCTGATACACCCATCTGGAGATCATCTTCCACATCCTGCACCCATCTTCTCCTTGGCCTTCCTCTTCCTCTCTTCCCAGGCAAATACCCCTCCATTATTGTTCTCCCTAGACTTCCATGACGTTTCAAGTGACCAAAATATTTCAATTTTCTTTGTTTTACTGTCTTTACTAGCCAACCCTCTTCAATATTCAGCTCTTGAAGTATGGATGCATTTGTTCTTTTCTTTACCCAAGATATTCTTAGAACCTGTCTGTAACATTTATATTCAAATGAATTTATGCGCTGTTCCTCTTGTTTAGTAAGTGTCCAGGTCTCACAGGCGTATGTTGCAATGGGAAAGATGCATGCTCTTAAAAATCTGACCTTTGTAATTCTATCTGTACAATTCCATAATTTATTCAGTTGTTTTAGTCTTTGAAGAGCAATTGATAGTCGTCGTTTAATTTCTTTCATTGTGTCACCATTGTTGGTAACCAGTGACCCAAGATATTCGAAATTTTCCACCACTTCCAATCTTTCCTCATTAACATATATTTCCTTCTCCATGGCAGTTTTGTTTGTATGCATTATCTTTGTTTTTGCTATGTTAAGAAATAAGTTATGATTTTCACTATTTCTTTTGAGTGAGGTTAATAAGTTTTCTAAACCATTTTGTGATGTTGATAGTAATACTATATTCTATTATTCCATTTAATTCCGCCTTTCATAGGTCAGCAGCAATTAATTAGTGTTTCAAGTTTACCATTAATTGTTTCAGTTATTACCAACGCTTCTGCTTTGTGCAGAAACTAAATATTTTCCATTCCTTTCGATTCAGTTTATTTCATGGTACTATGACATAAGTAAGAAAGTAAATAAAGAACACTTTGAAGTCATCGAGGCATCTGGCATTCTTTTTCCTTTTCTTTCATTCCTCTGTTTACTTCTCCAAGGTGTTGGGGTGGGAGGGGGGAGGGGTGAAGGTCGACCTGGGAGCCAAGGTCATTGTTGAAAACAAAAAAGTTCAGCCCCGTCCGAATCTGAACCTAGGACGTTCGGATCCTCAAGCAAGTATCTAGCCGCTACACCACGGCGTCTCTTGTAACAGAGATTAACTGTCTTAAAATAAACGTCTTTCACAGTCAGCGCATGAATGTCAGCACCATTGTTGACATAGCCTGTGTTTAACTTGCTTCTTCTGAAACGCTGAGTTGTGCAATCTGTCTCGTGTACTTTAATCAACTCTGTTACAGATGATCCTCTATGCCATATTGTCTGACTGCCCAGTATTTGTTCTCTCGGTCTCCCTGTGCCTCTCTTTCCCTCCAACTTTGCTATCGTCACGATGTACTCTAGTTTTCTCCTTCTCATCACATGACCAAAGAACATAGATTGTGTATTTCTGATGTCGGCAATTAGTTCTCTCTATGATTCAGTTTCTTTCAAGACATCTTAGTTACTATTTGATGTGTCCATGATATTCTCAATAATCATCTACATATCACCGCAGTTTTCAAATAAGTTTTCACTATTCTAACAACTGTCCATGATTCACTTCTGCCTTTACCTCCCAGCCCTTTTAAAGCTGAGTCGACCTTGGAGCCTAGCTTATTTTTTTTTATTCCGATCAGGATGGCGATCTCTGGGCCGACAGTCTGGCGTCAAGCCACTACACCACCGTGGCTGTAGGAATGCTGTAGCTAGGATATTTATTATGTTGCCGGGAAAATCTTGTACAATCTCTCGCACAGAGATGAATCAATAAACATAACTAACGGTGTGGCTAATGGTTTGAAAGGCTCCGGCTGGCAGACCTAACAGAACCACTTAATTTCCTTTTGTCTGCTTATATATCGACAGTTGTGTCAATATACGAACCCTGCAGAATGTGGCAGCACAAGATGGTACACAAATGTTAACTTAGAATTCAAGGTTCTGGCGCTGGAAAAAGGCAATGAACCTTTCATTCTAACACTCCCTCTTTTCCCACCTCCACACACTCTTCCTCACCTATATATCTCACACACACCTTCTCATCTTCATACCTTTCTTCTTCTTCTTCTTCTTCTTCTTCTTCTTCTTCTTTTTCTTCTTCTTCTTCTTCTTCTTCTTCTTCTTCTTCTTCTTCTTCTTCTTCTTCTTCTTCTTCTTCTTCTTCTTCTTCTTCTTCTTCTTCTTCTTCTTCTTCTTCTTCTTCTTCTTCTTTTTTTTTTCTTCTTCTTCTTCTTCTTTCTTCTTTTTCTTTTTCTTCTTCTTCTTCTTCTTCTTCTTTCTTCTTCTTCTTCTTCTTCTTCTTCTTCTTCTTCTTCTTCTTCTTCTTCTTCTTCTTCTTCTTCTTCTTCTTCTTCTTCTTCTCTTCTTCTTCTTCTTCTTCTTCTTCTTCTTCTTCTTCTTCTTCTTCTTCTTCTTCTTCTTCTTCTTCTTCTTCTTTGCGTTCTTCTTCTTTTTCTTTGCGTTCTTCTTCTTCTTCTTTGCGTTCATCATCTGTAAACTCTGGGAGAAAGTTCTGGGTGTTCTCGTGACTTTAGTCTTGTTCCAATACCTGAGTGTTGTATGAACAGTTGTTTCACAGATCTAGCCCATTTGTATACAGACTCTTGGTTCCATGCCTCTGAGGCAGATGTGATGCAACTTTGAAGAAAGCCCATAGTAAATCGGCTTTTGCGACATCTTTGCTGGGAAGGTAGTGGCCTATTCTTGTTTTCCTTCACGACCGGGTTCCTGAACCTAACACAGGGAATTTTAAGGAACAGTATGTGGAGCCGTTTCCTTGAAGTGCCACGTTGGATGCAGCAGTGGTGAACCATACCTAGTGGTTTCAGTGCGCCAGACCAGATCTTATGCAGGTGACACATCTACATCTCTCCGCGCTCATCCGTGAAGCAGGTTCCCAACTGTGAGCCTGGCTAACCTAGATCCATGTTTCCCTCAAGGTCGGAATTCATCGTCTGAGAGGCATGGAACTAACAGCCTGCACACAGATATTCCAGATTTGTCAAAGGGATGTGCACGTAAAACTCAGATCCTACAAAAAGGTCAGAGTCCACAAGCTGATGAATAATCCGGACTTTCCGCCAGTGAGCGCGAAGAAATCCTATTGTAACTTGCTTGTCATGCGCATTTGTGATTGCATATTTATTTATATTCATTGCTTATTTATTTTTTTAAGTGTATTTTTTTTTAAACCAGCTGAATTATTTGGAATTAATAATTATTCAAAATCTGTCGAACACTTTGCTTGCTTAAAATATAGATTTTCCAGAAAATCCCCCTATTCACACAGAAAACAGAATAATCACGATATTAAAATAATGAATCAGGTGATTATAATTGAGTGCATTAACCGCAGTTAGCGCACTCAAGGTAATTAGTGCACAGACAGGAGAGTGCATCTGTGGTAAACAGTGCTCTGAATGAGTTCGTTGTTATAATTTGTGGAAGTCGTGTGGATTTTAATGAGGTGCAGGAATTAGTGTCTCAGAACTGATCCATTCTTTCCGTGCTCCGCCCTCAGTTACAAGTAGGTAGCTTCTTGCTAGCAAACAGTTTCCTTACTTGCATAAGACTGCAGGTTACACCTGGCTGGTTTTGTTGTCACTGGTGCCCTAATTATTACTTCCTTGTAGGTTTAACGAAGTAGCGTAACACCTGCTGTGTTGTCTGCCGTCCAGATCCGGATTTTTTTTTTTTAATGCTTAACTTAGCAGCCCAGACGGAATCAGCAGATCGATCAATGGATCTTGCAGATACCTGGCAGTTAAGATTTCAACCCAGAGGCAAGCCAGTTTTGGAGCCGCCGTGGTGAAGCGGCTAGATGCTGGCTTGCGGATCGAAAGGTCGTGGATGTGGGTCTTGACGCAGGACTTTAATCAAAAATGACCTTAGCTCCCAAGTAGATCCAGCTTTAAATGAGTACCATGTAAAGTGCTGGGAAGTAAAGGCGGCAGGCGTGATTTTGAACACATCACCATCGAGTGTCGATTGATATTTAAAATACAGGTCTTAGCTCTATATGCCCAATAAGCCTGAAGATGTTGAGTTTTTTTCTTGTCTACATACAAAAGAACAACCATCATATGCGGCAGAAAGTACTGGAGACATATTGCAAGCCGCCTTCACTGTGTTGAAGGTACCTAATGACTCACTAACTGACTCACTAACTGACTCACTGACTGACTCATTTTCTCATTAACGAGTTGACTGATTGACTAAATAATGCTTGCATGAATGGAAAACTTACTTAAAAAATTGGCAATCATACTTACAATTGGAATCATACCTACCCAATGGGAGTCATAATTACAAAAATGGGAATCATACTTACCCAATGTGTGTTATAATTACAAAAATGGGAATCATTCTTACCCAATGGGTGTCATGCTTACAATAATGGGAGTCATACTTCCATACTTACAACCATGAGAGTCATAATTACAACAGTGGGAGTCTTACTTATGTACTTACAATCATGGGAGTCATAATTACAACAGTGGGAGTCATACTTATGTACTTACAATCATGGGAGTAATAATTACAACAGTGGGAGTCTTACTTATGTACTTACAATCATGGGAGTCATAATTACAACAGTGGGAGTCATACTTACGTACTGAGAACAATGGGTGTCATACTTACCTACTTACAACCATGGGAGTCATAATTACAACAGTGGGAGTCATACTTACGTACTGAGAACAATGGGTGTCATACTTATCTACTTACAACAATGGGAGTCATACATACGTACTTACAACAATGGGAGTCATACTTACGTACTTACACCAATGGGGTCATACTTACGAACTTACAACAATGGAAGTCATAATTACAACAGTGAGAGTCATCTTACGTACTTACAACAATGGGAGTCATATTTACAACAATGTGTATCGTATTTACAACAATGGGATCATATTTACAACAATGGGTGTCGTATTTACAACAATGGGAATAATGCATTCAACAATAGGAATCATGACTACTACAATGGGCGTCCCACTTACAAAAATGGCATAATGTTTACAAGAATGTGAGTCATACAAAAAGTAAATCATAATTATTTACAGTCATACTGACAAGAATGGCAACCATACTAACAACAATGATATAATCACACCTACAACAGTAATAATCATACTTACAGAAGTGACAATCATAATTACACCAGTGACAAGCATACAAACAAGAATGGCAATCATACTTACAACAGTGACAATCATTCCTACAACAGTGACAATCATGCTTACAACAGTGACATCATACTTACAACAGTGACATCATACTTACAACAGTGACATCATACTTACAACAGTGACATCATACTTACAACAGTGACATCATACTTACAACAGTGACATCATACTTACAACAGTGACAATCATTCTTACAACAGTGACAAACATACTTACAACAGTGACATCATACTTACAACAGTGACATCATACTTACAACAGTGACAGTCATACTTACAACAGTGACAGTCATACTTACAACAGTGACAAACATACTTACAACAGTGACAAACATACTTACAACAGTGACAAACATACTTACAACAGTGACAAACATACTTACAACAGTGACATCATACTTACAACAGTGACAAACATACTTACAACAGTGACAAACATACTTACAACAGTGACATCATACTTACAACAGTGTCATCATACTTACAACAGTGACATCATGCTTACAACAGTGACAAACATACTTACAACAGTGACATCATACTTACAACAGTGACATCATACTTACAACAGTGACATCATACTTACAACAGTGACAAACATACTTACAACAGTAATAAGCATACTTACGACAATGGGGATGTTCATAAATATGAGCGTATATTTGAGACAGATCCTGGCCGACCGTCTGCAGCCCTTCTCTCTAGGTTCGTCCGTATCCATCTTCTCCTGGGTAAAATGCATGGTAATTGTTGCTGCTGTTGTTATTGCTGTTGTTATTGTTGTGATTATTATGTTATTATCGTTTTTATTATGGTGATGATAGCGTTGTTTCTAAATCAGTTTCATACAACTATACACAACGATTCACGTGTTATCGCATATGTCAGTACCAAGTGTATCTATGTTAAGAATGTAATCTAGATGCTACAAGACTAGCAATATTTGCTCTAAATAATCATGAAAACATGCTTCGGTCATCTACATAATGATTAAATATGGCTTTTCCCCGCAAATTACATGATTAGCACTTGTCAGATACTCTAAGATGGATTGCGTTCACATAAGTATATTCTGTTATGCGTTGCGAACGCGCTTTGTAATGTCAGGGCTCCGGGTTCGATCCCAGGTGCAGACGATTTGTCTTGCGTTGGTTTAGACAGTAGTGCCGAGAGCTGATCGTTCAAGGGCAATCGAAAACTACTAAACGTTAAATTTGCCTAGAAAAACCACAACAGCAAAAAAAAAAAAAAAAAAAAAAAAAAAAAAAATTATGGTGTTGGTTTTGCAACGTACTGTAAAGAATACACAACTAACTAACTGTAAGTATGTTTTAATCTATAGTTAAAATTATAATTAAACAGTTCTTTGTGCACAATTTTTTGAATAAATGATATTGAATATATTGTTCGTGTCCTCGTTATCAGTTAACTTCACAAAATGAAAATAATCATTTGAAAGTGTTCTTTTTCAAAATATACTAAACCTGACAAAAAGACTCGTTAATTTTTAAATAGAGTGTCCTGAAAGCTTCTTTTCAATATATGAACAGATATTTTTATGAGTCCACTCATAGCTATTCCAATACCTCTAGGGAGCTTAGCATATAACACAATCTTTTCTAATATTTGTGAGTTACTGCCCAGCTTTTCGTGGATAGTATTTTTTCCAGTGGTCACACACGTGTCGGAGATTCAACTGCAAGGATATATATGTCATTCCTCCAAAAAAACACTTCACTTAAGTGATTTTTGTGTATTGTTGTTCGTGTTTGTCGTAATATATATCAATATTTTGTGCTGATGAAGACTCTCTAACCGCAACGTTAACATGTAGTTGGTATTTGTGATAATTTGAAGCTGACTGGTTTATCTTTTTTTTTTTTTTCTGTTATTTAAAAACTTGGCTCACAGCGACTTTTTTAACAAATATTTTTTAAAGGTATGTGCCTAGTCATGACAATATGGGTGTGTATAGCTAACAGTGACTTTTTTTGTAAACCCTATGTATACATAGAACATATTATTTAACATAGATACATACATTTTATCATGAAAGTATAATATTTGATACAGCATATCATCATCATCATGTAGCAGGTCCTTTGCAGAATGTCGCTCTCATCGCGGTCTGCCTGAAAGAAACTCGGTCTCTCGCCAGCTCTCCCGTCTCATGTTTTCTGCTATAATTTTTTCTAATCCGTCGTGGCGCTTGATATAACCAAAATATTTCAGCTTTCAAGACAGGATGCTGTTTATTAGTCAATCTTCCTTGATGTTCAGATCTTTCAAGATGTCAGTATTTCTCCTATTCTCTGTCCAAGATATTCTGAGAATCTTTATATAGCATTTCAGCTCCAAAGCCCCTAATCTTTTTCTTAAGGACTGAGAGATAGTCCACGATTCACATCCGTATGTTGCTACAGGGAAGACGCGTGCTCTTAAAATTCTTATTCTGATCCCCTTGCTGGTGCTTAACCGAAGACTTTTAGGGCTGTTTAAACCTTGCATTGATATGGCCATCCTTCTTTTAATTTCTGTCAAACAGTCTCCATTGCTATTTATTATAGAACCTAGATATTCAAAGTTTGGGACATTCTTAATTTCTTCATGTGTTGTTATTTTTGGGTAGCAGTCAGTTTTATCTGTGAACATTATTTTCGTTATTTTCGATACAGCATACAAGGACACTAAATTACTTTGAGAGGTAACTTTGCCATATAAGTATAATTCTATCCCGCCCCATTAAAATGAACTATAAATCACATTTAATATACATTATATACATATTACATAAAGCATTTGCTATAAATTATACAGTAAGTGAGTGAATAAGCCTTTTCATTACTATATTCGTACCCTCCCCACCCCACCCTACCCCACTCTAAAAAAAATATGTTTCACATTCATGCTAGGACCGCCGGAGTACAAGGAAATTAGAAAGCTGATAGGCTTGCAGGTTAAAGCTACTGTGGAGGGTGGGCGAGCCATGGATCAGCCTGATATACTGAATTCTTTACGAGAAGTAAGACGTTTTCGACAACCAAGTGACTGCGAGAACATAGTTAAAAAGCGGTATGGCCAGACAAGAGCACTATGCAGAAAGCCAAAGAAGAATATGAAACCAACACGCAAATGGTGACGTCAGCCGCTGCACGCTGCAGAATTTATAGAGGAGGGAATACGAGCACTAATGGACTGAATGATTCCGTGTGCAATTAGGCAATCTGTCGACTGATTAACTCACTATTTAATTTCGAATACATCAGTCGCTTACGTCTCGCCGAGCACTTGAAGCTCGTCATGTGTATTACCATATCGAAAAGAACGCTCGCTGTATACTTACGTTACTCATGCAGCTACCAGTTAATAGTACTATGATATCCATACATACCCAAGACAGCGAAACGACGAGTAGTAAAATCTCACGTGATACCCTCTACAATGTAATCGTTACCTACTAACGCTTACACGTCGATATGTATCACTCCTTGCCATTACTTGGTTCCCTTGTCTTTATAAAATCACATCATTTAATTCTTTCATTCCCGGGTAGTTTTTAATTTAGCAGTGTTTGCACCATAGTTGTGGTGTCTTAACATAACGATGTTTTAGTCTCGCATAATTGAAGAAATACCAGTTTGTGACAAGTCCTTACAATAGCAATTGAAATGTAGGGGGATAATAACAGAAGAATGGGACTGGGAATGGCAAAAACAAAAACAGAGTATCCTATATAAAGAGTCAGTCACCAATGAACGTATAGTGAGATCCCTGGTTCCGTAAGAGTCAATGTATCACAGAATATAATTCTTCTCCTTCCTCTTATGGGTTCATCCCTACTTAGACAGGGGCTAGCGCGTTGCTTGTGGTTCACAGCAAGGCTAGGAAATCTGCTCACTTCAGCCCAACACATCGATTTCCTTAAACTCCTAATTCGTTCTCTTTTGTGATGTACCTGTAATAGACAAAAGGTAACTGTCTGGCCTTTAACTCCACCAGGACATCACACTGAGAGATTAACACCTGGTGGTACAAAGTCCCACCATTCGGATGAGGATCGCCCGTGGAGAGGTACCAGAAACCCCGTTCAACCCATAGGTTGGGATATACTAGGACCCCCCGCAAGAGTCAGGGTAGGGCGTTAACACAACAACAGAACTGCGTTCGACACTGAGACACTGTTGAGCAATAGGTCTTTTCTTCCATTCCACTCCAAGAGTGGGCCCCGGAACTAACATGGAGCGTATAACAATTCTATACTCGTATAGCGGCGTCTGTCGCTTAGGCGTTGCGAATGTGACTCGTAATGCTCGGGTGCCGGATTTGACAGCAGACCGCCTTGCGTTGATTTTGACATTGGGATCTAAAGCCGACGGTTTGATGTGTGCATGTAAACTAATGAACGTAACATTTGCCTAGGGTTTGGTTTTGCAACGTCCTTTACAGGACACGTAACTAACTTGTTACTCTCGTATAGGCAACCGTAGTGGTGTAGGGGCTACACGCTCTGTCTGATCGCCCCAATATCGTGGGTCGAAATCCACATGAAGTCGGATTTTTTCTTTCAAAATTAACTTGGCGCTCAGGTCGACTTAGACTAAAATGAGTACCTGGTAAAATCATGAGAAGTAAAGGCGGCCAAGCATGATTTTGACCACATCGCCCATTGATGGTCGACTGATGTATACAAATACCAATCTAGTACCATTTGTCCGATTCACCACTGGCGTGAACAGGATTCATTTCTTTTTTACCCTGAAAATCCCAAGATCTGTTACACCTGGTCGGCTCTGTGGCTAAGTCGATGCGAACGCTTTGTAATGCCGGGGTGCCAGGTTCGATCCCAGCTGCGGGCCATGCGACTTGCGTTGGTTTCGACAGTGGTATCAGAGGTCCGACCATCCAAAAAGCAATGGCAAACTACTAGACGTAAATTGCCTAGAGAAACCAGCCAGGGGCTGTTGGGGTTGGTTCTGCAACGTCGCGTAAAGGATACGCAACTAACCTTTAGTTACACCTGCTTGAGAGTGGCCGACCATCTTCTAAAAGGTCTTAAATGGCATTGATTTGTTAAAATAGTTAGAGTTAACCCTCTTATGTATCGCCCATGCTACGCTGAGTCTTTATGGAACGAATTTGCCCTTCTTAATAAATTATGTTTAGCTTTTTAACGACTTGTCTTTGGTTGGGTCATCCATGAGCCGATGGGCTTGTCAGCTAATACTGCAAAGAATCACAAAATGAACACACGTAGTCGAGAGTACTACAGCAGGCCACAATAATACAGGTCGACCAAGAAAGAGATGGGTGAATGGAGTGAAAGAGACACATTAGAAACGTAGTGTGACATTACAACAAAAATAATTCTAACGTTATACTGTTTTTTTTTTCTCTGAGTGCGGATCAGTGCATGTCTATTTGTTTATTATGCATGGCATTAACGAAAGCTACGCAACTGGCAGGAGACAATAAATTACACCTAACTCCTCTCTGTAACGCTTTAGGGTGAAGGCAATATGAGGTCTGAGGTTCGAAATTCAGGATCAACATCATGGCACACGGGTAGTAACCCATTAGTGCTCCCTTATACTTCTAACTCAAGTCTGAGTCCGAAGAAGCTCAGCACAAGGCACAAGCTCTGTAGCACCGGCGAGGATCTTAAAACATTTTGGGTAGACTTTTAATTCCAAATTTTGCCTGGGCAACGCCGTTAGGATACTC